ATTAAAATGAAGGCAAAATGCAAATAAAATTTTAAGGTTTAAAGTCCCAATGAAACTGAAGTAGTGACATACATTTTCTTACGTACCGTGATAATTGTAAAAAAAAAAAAAATTAATCTGCCCAAATCAATCCGAGCAGCTGAGTCCTTAACCATCTTCAAGAAACGACTAAAAACACATCTGTTCCACCTTTATTTGACCCTCTAACTCTAACACTTTCTATTCTATTTTAATTCTACTTTATCTATATTTATCTTTTTTTTTTTTTTTTTAAACTAAAAAAAAAAATAGCTTTCTATTTTTTTCTATTCTATCTACTTGTTTTTCTTTGTTTGTGTGTGTGTGTATAATATATATATATATATACACACACCTTGCTACGTGTACTGCGTTAGGCTAACCGAGACTTGTCATTTGCACTTATATATTGTTGCTCTTTTGTTAGTTTTGACTGCTTTTATTGTCCTCATTTGTAAGTCGCTTTGGATAAAAGCGTCTGCTAAATGACTAAATGTAAATGTAAACGTAAATAAAACTAAATGATCGGGAAAGTCCATCATCCTTCACCAGACAGAAGTCTGAAGTTTTTCCAGATGACTGAATTATGACATTAAAGGCAGGGTATGTGATTTTTCAAAAACACTTTAGAAAACTGATTCGGGCCGAATTGCAAAACAAACTTGTAGCCAATCAGCAATAAGGGGCGTGTCTACTCGTGATGTGGAGGAGAGAGCATTCAGTGTATGGGACGGACATTAGCCGAGCCGAGCGACAGAAAGATAGAGATGGCGGATAAAAAAACAAAAGAGGAAAACGTCTGCGGAAAGATAAGGCAAGAAGTAGGACCCGTGTAAATATCGGATCAGCTTTCCAGAGAACTCAAGGAGCGATCAACATTGGCTACCAGAAATCGCTCACCCTGCCTTTAAGAATTACAAGGTCAATTTAAAAAAAAGAAACATGCATGGATTAAGTATTCACAATAAGACCAACAACATGCATTTAGAAAATCTACTTCAATTATTTAAATAATATAAACAATTTCTTCTACTGATTTTTGGCTGAAATATATGGAAGCCTGTTTCCACCATGAGATAAAAACAAAAATGTAATTGCTCAGAAATCAAAGTCAGGAAAAAAAGTCAGAATTGCGAGATATAAACTCAGAATTCTGACTTTTTTCTCTCGGAGTTTACATTTCGCAATTCTCTGTTTTTTTCTCACAATTGTGTGGGGGTTTTTTCCACCACAGAATAACATTTTTAGAATTTTAGAATAAAAAAGGTAATTCCGACTTTTTATCTCACAATTCTGACTTTTTCAAAATCTCAATTGCAAGTTTATATCTCACAATTCCAACTTTTTTCTCAAATTTGCAAAAAAAACAAAAAAAAGTAGGAATTGTGAGATATAGACTCAGAATTGCAAGAAAAAAAAGTCTAAATTGTGGGATGTCACAATTATTATTATTATTATTTTATCCATTGGCAACACAGGCTTCCATACAAATAAGACATTTCTTAATGAAAAGAACAAAAAAATAGTACTAAAAAAAACTAGGTTTTAGCTTATACAGTCAAGACTGCGGGGGGAAAAAAAGTTAATTATAACAGGAAATAAGTACATTAAAACTGAGCTCAGGCCAACAGCAACACAGCTTTCCAGAACAAGCCTATCATTCCAAACATTCCTTCATCTAAACACAGCCTTGAGTCTTATCAGGGTGAAGCAAAAGGTGAGGAATGTGACCCGAACACAACATCACATCAACTATAACACACTAATAACTGACACATCAACTATAGACGACCTTACTTAGAGATCTGGCACTAAAAAAAAAAGCTAAACTAAGGCAAGATTATGTTTCAGAGCTCACACTGGCATTAGGACAAGGAGCTGCAGACAGATCAGCGCTTTAGGTTATAATACAAACACAATCCCATTACTTTAGTCTCTTATCTAGGAGTTATCACAGAGTTCCGAATGATTTCTGGAGCACGCACACTATTAAGTGCAATCCCAGCTGTGCGAGTGTGTAACGTATATATTGCAAGTGTAACAAAAATAGTAATTAGTTCAGAGACGAGGGCAACCGTTATAATGCTCCACATCCCTGCCGTGTAAGTTAGTGCTAATTGCTGGATTTCAAGTTCTGAATATATATTGCAAGTGTAACAAAAATAGTAATTAGTTCAGAGGGCAACCGTTATAATGCTCCACATCCCTGCCGTGTAAGTTAGTGCTAATTGCTGGATTTCAAGTTCTGAGATAAACATAAAACTGAAGGAAGGTCTTTTAAACAGTATGAAATAACAGTGGGAGTGTCTCAATAAGTGACAATAGTTCAACTAACGTATTTACCCAAACAGCTAACTTGATAAATACAATGTTTTGAGCTCGTGAGACGACACAGATATACACTAGCTGGTTCCTGTTGATTATCTTTAGGACACATATACAGAAATGAACACTCAGTAGCTGCTTACCCTTGTTTTTAGTGCGGTTATTCGCTCAGGTGGTGTTTAAGGGTCTTTGAGGGTTTGTGTTTCTTTAGGTCGAAGTCTGACAGAGTCAGAGTCGAAAGTGACTTGCGATTTAAATGCCTCTGTTCGTGATCTCAGATCTTCCGATTTGACAGGAGCCACAAAAGAGAATGATGAACAACTTCATTCGGATCCAAGATGGCAGCGAAACCATGAGGATTTCAAAATAAGAGTCCCGCCGTCGTCCCCGCAGGTTAGAAGTAGGATTGCGTTGAGAGAATGCAAATCACTTTTTTTATTATTATTTTATTTTATTAAATATATACTTCGTTGATATAACTGGAAAATGTTTCGACACACATGATGTAATTAATGTTTTCATGATTCTCATGATTCCCTCCTTGACTCAGCCAACCCAGTGACCTCCACTATAAATAGCTAGAGTTTCTTAGTAACACTTCACAATAACCTTAAAAAAAAAAAAAAATTATTACTACTTTATATAATGCTTTTCTAAACATTTTTTAAAGGGATTGTTCGGCCAAAAATAAAATAAAATAAAATAATAAAATAAAATAAAATAATTATTTACTCACCCAAGGCAAGCCTGTATGACTTAATTTCTTCTGTGCAGCACAAAAGAAGGTATTTTGAAGAATGTTGGTAACCAAACCATTTAGATTACCACTGACTTATTCAGATTTAGAAGTTAAAGATCTCATAATAATAGTTTAAGCAAATGTTTTATCATATCTTCTCAGTGGTCTTCCTTCACAGACCCCTTGTTGAATGCTCAGGATCTAAAGGGGTAAAGCCTTAAAATGATTTTTGTAGTCGAATTCGATTTTTATTCTCAAATATTTGTTTTAATGTACTTTTTTCTGTTATAATTAACTTGTATGAATTTGTGTTAAACAATACAAACATATAAATATATAAATTGTGCCTAAGAATGAATTTTGAAATGAATACAAATTGTATTTTATTTATTTATTTATTTTTATGGATTATACTGGAAAATCTGAATACATAACTTCTTCGGTACCGTTTAGAACACGACCTTAGCTGGTTGAGAGAGTGAACAGTGTGCAGAGCTGTAATTTCTAGGCAAATCCATTATTTATAAAATGTGGGAAATAGTTATAATGATGAATAAGTAGGTGTGTCCAACTTTGACTGGTTGTGTGTAACTTTCTTTTGGGAGGAGCGTGGACTGGATGACTGAACTTTGCGTTGGAAGAGACGGTGGATTGTAATCAAACTGTATCGTGAGTGTAGCAATGGGTTATGATTCAGATGGTGATGATGATGGGTGACCTTCAGATATGGAGGTTAACCGAACTAAAAAGGCCAGGAAAAAAGCATGGTCTGAAGCGAGTAGTGGAGGAGAGAGTACACCAAGACAAACGATCAAAAAGATCAGAGCTAAACCTAGTGGAAGCAGTAGGTTTGATGATGACAAACAGGAAGAGTGGAAAGTCATTATTACGCTTAGTAATGATAAAGGTCACTTTCATCCAGTTCAGGTAACTAAAGCAATTGAGAAGGAAATAGGGAAAATAAAATATGCTAAATTACTGAATAACAGAAGAATTCTAATTTCAGCAGTAAATAAGAAGCAGCAGGAGATGATTCTGAAAATGAGTAGCCTTGGTGGTGGAAAGATTAAAGTGCATGTACCAGGAATGGCAGCAAAGTTAAGAGGAGTGATTTCAAATGTGCCTCTGGAAATGTCCATGGAAGATGTGAAGAATGAGATACAAGGTGGGAATGTAACAGAAGCCAAAAGATTCCAAATTAATAAAGGCGGTGTTAAATCAGATAGCCTGTCTGTACTGCTTGTTTTTGAAAAGATAATGCCTACTGAAGTCCAAATGGGTTGGATCAAATACAAAGTGAGGGAATACATTCCACAACCGTTAAGGTGCTTCAAATGTCAGAGAATGGGACATACAGCACAACAGTGTAAATGGAGACAAAGATGTGCGAAATGTGGAGGAGAACATGACTATGGTAAATGTAAAAAGGATGCTAAGCTAAAATGCTGCAATTGTGGAGGTGAGCATAGTGCTGCATATGCTGGATGTGTGGTTCAGAAACAAGCTAAAGAGGTACAAAGATACAAGGTTATGAATAAGGTGACATATGCAGAGGCATTAAAGGGTATTGGTATTTATGAAAACAAACAAAATAAACCAATAGAATATCAGGAAAATTTGAATGACAATGCAAGGTATGCAGTACCACAGAGTTCAGACATAAGGAAATATCAGCCAGGAAGGCCAGCACCTCCACTGCAGCCATGCAATCATAAGTGTAAAGTTGAGGAGAACACCTTGATTGTGGAAAAGAAAAGTTTTATAGCTTTTATGTGCAAAGTTGTTAAGTGCATTGTGGGATTGAATGAGTGCGCTCGAGAACGTCCACTATGGTTTCGGACACCACTAAAAATGGCTGTTCCCTCAAATAGTGCCCTATTTAAGGGTATAGGGGGCGATTTCGGACACAGCCCAAGTTATTGCACTCAGGCACTTTCTCAGTCGCCTACACTGGGTCCTTCGTTCCTCCCGTAGTGTCCACGTGGAGATCATCATGCGCTCTTAAAGTGCTATAGACGTGTTCATTGTACAGCATATGGGTAAGTAGTAAATGTTATTTGTATATGAGCGGGTTTTATAATAAATATTTACGTTTAGTGGTACGATTATGAAAAGGTAGGATTCCGTATGTGTAAAGTTATACAGTCGTCGTTCTTCAAATATTCCCCGTTTGTTTTAGTTACTCGTCAGCTGAGATGTGCAAATACATCTTTCTGTTGTCACATTTAAAAAGGGGCTTTCTGTGGCCCTTGAGCAGTTGTATCCATCCAATTAAATGTGTAGCTGAACGTCCCTCGCTATTGGATTTTAATGATTATTTTTGCCTTCGTGGTTCCATCACTTTAATTATTGCAAGTACAGTTAATTGTGTGTGTGTGTACAGGTTTATATATCCTGGTGGGGACTTAAACCTGACTACACACAGACTCATGGGGACTCGTGTCACGGTGGGGACCTAAGTTGTGGTCCCCACGGGTGCAAAAGCTTATAAATCATACAGAATTAAGTTTTTTGAAAATCTAAAAATGCAGAAAGTTTCCTGTGAGGGGTAGGCTTAGGGGTAGGGTTGGTGTAGGGCAACAGAATATACGGTCTGTACAGTAGAAAAAACATTATGAAAATCTAAAAATGCAGAAAGTTTCCTGTGAGGTGTAGGTTTAGGTGTAGGGTTGGTGTAGGACAATAGAATATACGGTCTGTACAGTAGAAAAACCATTACGCCTATGGAGAGTCCCCACAAGGATAGCTGACCAGACATGTGTGTGTGTGTGTGTGTGTGTTTTAAGCGCAGCAGGAAGTGGCTGGTGTGCTAAGTCACATGTCGACACCATGAGGATAAGGAGCAACCTTGTGCTTTTGAACTCCAGGTGAGAATTTACATTTTATATGACTTTCTTTGCATATGTTAGATTGCTCCACGTGAGTAGTTCCAAAAATGACAGCAGCTGATTTTAAATATATTTATTGCAAAAAAAGTGAAGCTAGTTCCATTAAAATGCAATTTATACCGAATCCATGCAGACACCCAGTACAGTTCTCGATCTTGCCTTTGTGTTGCCCATTCATTTTCCTTTAGATGAATGAGGTGTCAACTAAGGCACACAATAAATCTTGAAATAGCCACATTTACCAGAGAACACCCTAATTGTTTCTCTTGCTTGCGCTATGACAAGAACAGCATTCACAATAAGCTATATTCATGACCTGATCATTTATGTGCATGCTTCAACAATCATATTCTATCATTTCAGGTGAGCAGCCCTGCTGTAAAAATTCAGTAAAGGGCTGCAACAGCAACATGGACGTGGTTACATGACACCTGGTATGCAGCTTTGAACATTGTCCATTCTGTTGAAGTTTTAGTAAAACTACAGTAAAGCCAATCATGCCTTAAAGTGTTGCCTGTTCATTGCTGTTCAGATGAATGTGGCGTCAAATAGGGCAGACAGTAATACATGAGGTGGCTGCTGAAAGGTGCTTACATCTGTGCCTTTCAAAAGTTTCATGTTATGGACATCAACTTTTTAAACAATTGATGATGCATTATATACTATGATAATGTAATCCATAAAAATGCAAAGCTTAGTGCTAATTCATCCTGTTTATTATAAAGGGTCTATATTCACAGAAGAGTGATCCTTTCCAGTGGCGGTAAATTACCCAGCATTCAAGGACTAGTGGTGTGCGAGGTGAGTTTTACTAACACTGACTCTCAGTGACAAACTTCATTTCTTTTGACTTGATTCATATTTTGCTGCTCTGTAATGATTTGTGTGGTACATAAATTTGAGTTCAATAAGGGCGGGCCGCTGTTTTTATAACGGTGCATATAGCCAGATTTTCCGCATTCGTATGTTCATGCTGTGTCCAAGTGTTTCTGTGGCTTAATATTTCTTGTTCTCTTCCAGATGCTGTTTTCTGCGTATGTGAATCTGCATGACATAGTTTTTATAAATAAAACCTTCTGTTTAACAGTCTGTCTTTTGTATGTAGATGTTTTATGGTCTCTTGAAAATCAGTTTTGTGGTACACCGCATAAAAAGCAAATAATCCAAACTTTTCTCAATGTCCACATTAGAAATATTTGTTTCACTTTTTACTTGCATTGCCCTCTAGGGCAAGGAATAATGAGTAGAAAATCATGATCATATTTGTGGTGTCATTTGGTGCCAGAATGATTTACTTTTGAAATACACATAATTGAGTTGTTCACAAAATAGACTGTAGAGAATCTTGTTTTCTCACATATCCATAAGATTTAATATTCATATTTAAATGTAGTGTGACCGTTTTCAACATTGTTTTATTTTTTTTAAATACACAGCATTTGATACAACTATATTAAGTTTTTGCATAATCTTTTAGTGGACTGAACAAACATTATTAGTCCACATTTCAACCATCAAGGTTTCGGAGAAATATGAAATGTCGCCCCTTTGCAATCGCTATTAGTTGAGCCACTGACACGCTTTACTCGCTGCTACTATTTTGATGAAAATTATTCATTAAATAATTAATGGATAATCTTTAGCCAATAAAATTAAATCTTCTATGCATTGGCAATTCACCAGCATGCATGATATGTAGTTTAGACATGCAAATTTGCATTTACTTCAGTTATTTGTCTTGCTACACTGAAATGTACTTGACATTCAAAAAAAAAATTTTTTTTAGCATTACAAATGATTTTTCTCAGATTGCTTTGACCTTTTCAATATATGGTCACCCCATATATACATTATGGGGTGGCACATAGTACTACACCGTCTCTTACTCATTGCATACTATATACACAAGAAAACTTATTTGAAATGTCATACATAAAATAGCATTACAGAGTACAAAGGTCTGACAGTTTTCTGTACACCTGAAAAACATGAAGGGAAATACACTTTCATACACACAAGGCATAATTGGTATACGCTTTATGAATTATCAAAAAATATATGACATTTAAAGGAGATTCTGGGAGTTGATATGAACATTTGATGTGACTAATGACTATGAGCGCCTCATCGTCTAAACCTAGAGCATTTCCCTGGTGTTACCATCATGTGACTCAACAGTGCTAAACGATTCAGAAGACAAATCTGCCTGCAAACCACAGCAATTATAAACCAGGTCAAGTGATTGTATTGTCTCTAATTGTATCTAACCTACTTTAATGTGAACTATATACAGGTTTTATCAAGACATAAAAAATGTTTTCATTAGATGTGCAGATGTGTACCGATAAAACATTTTTGTTTTATTGCAAAAAAGAGAGAACGATACAAAATGCTAGCTTTTATCTCCACATAATGTTTTCATTAGACAAATGACTAAACATTATGTTCGCTACTTTTCATATTTCACTAACAGTGCTGGGTAGTAACTGATTAGCTACATGTAATCTGGATTACGTAATCAGATTCCAAAAATGTAGTACTTGTAATTAGATTATATTATATTTGAAAATGCTCATAATCGGTTACTTTTAAACCTTGAAGTAATATAATGTTTAATGCTTTTCATGATGTTGATAACAGAACGGATTATATTTGATTGCTCTTTTATAACAATAATCCCATTCAAATTTATAAACAAGTTAGGTCATGAGTAATCGAAAATATCTAATCTAAAATGAGTAATCTAAACTACACTACTGACTACAGTTTCATCGTAATTTGATATCAGTAACAGACTACAATTTGTAAGTAATCCACCCAGCACTGTTCACTAAAATTGTGATTATGTGGAACAATAATGCCTTTTTTTTTAGTCCAATAAACAGTCTATTAAAAAACTTTCACTACATTGAAATATTCAAAGAAATGAATTCTCTCTGCTTTTTTGTTGATATTTTATAATTAAACTGAATGATAGTAAGACTTTAGAATGGGGTGACGCATAAATTATTACTATTATTTGTATTAAACGCTTATTGTGTTCCCATCTTTATTTGGAATTTAAATTATTCATATATACTTCAATGACACTTCTCCTGACATGACACAGTTCACTCCGGCATGTTGTGTCACTGGACCACTTTTTTTTCTTTTTCAGAAGTGCTCTTTTTTTATAGCTGTATCTGTATAGGATTCTAGTTGATATTAGTCATCTATAAATATATTTAGATGCATTTCTCCTCGCCTAGAGGACAACAAGGTAAGCGGCCCAGTTTACCCCATTCTCCAAATGGCATCCGTTCGGTAGAATGACCCCGAGTAACTTTCACACCTACCACCCCTCTCCGCTAGAGGGAGCGCGTGTCCCCGGGCATTCGGCGTCAATGAAAGCAATACAAAACCCTCTGTAAGGAGAGCACAGGGAAGCTCTCCGAGGAGCCACGGCATTCCTGACCAAAATAATCTTTATCACACATTTCACGCTCTATTCTCCGTTCTCAACGGGCGGGATACAAGAGTGAAATAAGAGTATGGATCATTAATCGCCTTCCAAACCCATCGGCTCATGGAATATTCGCGCTGATATTGAAGATTCCTGGGATCTCCGGAGGAAGGCAAGGAAGCAAAGAAAGAAAGAAAGAACGGGATTAATCAAAAAGTCAACTGGCGGGTGGAAAAGCCCACTCTGGAGGGGCATCAGGGGCCCCTGCGCTGGATGACCGCCGTTCACTTCTCCCCAGCGGTCTGCAATGGGGGAGACTAAAGTTATCTATCATCTCGACGACCAGGAAACTCCATACCTGGTCAAACTGCCCATCCCTGCCGAAAGGGTCACCCTTTTGGACCTGAAAAACGCTCTCAAGAAACCAAACTACAAGTTTTTCTTTAAATCTATGGACGATGACTTTGGGTGAGCCTGCCGTACATTAGTTTTCTTCGCACTTCTGCATGTATTTCTCAGGTTTGACGCACAATTCCAGCTCTTCGCACGTTTTTACCCTTGTTTGGATCGTGGATCGACTGCCCTGATTTTTCAGAGGCTGATATAATGTCTTTTATTAGTTGTGTTGGACACAACTGTGTGTGAAAGGAGAAAATGCACGGTGTGTGTGTGCGCGGGGTTCAGCAGGGGTGAATGTTAGGTCCTTTTCAATTGACGACGGCATCCATTTTAAGTCTGGATTACTCTTCAAATATGGCTTTTGGCCTGTCGGCACGAGCTTTGGGTGCAGTTAGTTAGTTAGTGAATGGTTGGTGACCACAGTCAGAGTTTCACAGAAGGGAGTAGTTTAGTATCCTTCCTTCTTAAATGTTCTCCAGCGTCAGTCTAAATTACCATGGCTACACAAAAAGCACTCTTGGTTTTGGGGTTTCTTTACGCTTATTGTGTTCAGATCCGGTTCCTAAAGTATTTTCTTTTTTTTTCTCACAAAGCACCTCCGCGTCAGAACATTATGAGCGAGTATAATTCCACTTTGAGGAATTTTCCACCTCGATTCAAGAGCACATCAGAGAAGTACAGTAGAATCTGTTTGAATGTGCAGTGCGCATGCGCAGTGCAGAGGCCATATGTCCCCGAAACCGACCGTCCCCCCAAATGATGAAAACATTCGAGGTGTGTTTAGATGGAAATTTGGACGCGTTTAACGTTATTTATGATGTGGTCTTGGTCATTAGCCATAGACTTACTTTTTTTTTCAGCGTTTCCATCGTTTAAATGCCTTTTGGAGTTTCTGAGAACTCTGACCTCTTATGTAGGCCTTCAAAAGCAGACTTTGTACACATAATTAGATAAGTAGACCAGGGTTGCCAGGTCATGGAAAACCTGGAAATATCAGGGGATTTTAATGTGAGGTACAGCATGGAAATTAGTTAGGGAATATAATTTTTCAAGCCTTGCTTAAATATGTAATTGGTTGAATATTACTCATTGTGAGTGCTTGTAAAGAGTAAAACCTGCTTGCAAGGCAGTGTTTGAAATGTCTTATCGGAGATTTCCAATATTACAGTATGATCATTACCTAGATTAATTAAAATCTGGTCAGCAATATCTCTAGAATGAGTTCTAAATAAACATTTTCAATCATCATGACTAGTTAGAAAGAGCGTGAAGATTAATTGTTCAAAAAGTGTGGGATTTCAGATCGTCTTGACACTTTTGGACATTTTCTTTATATGTCAGGATTATAACAATATATTTTGCTCGACAGATCACTTGGAAACGTGAAACTTTGCTTCGTATTTGTGTTGGGGTTTAAAAGTGTGTTATATAAAGTGTTACCTGTGTCTTTAAACTAACCCCTAGCTTGTGAATAAGTCTCATTTGGAGCACTGGCTAGTGTTCTTGTCTTGTCTGTCTGTTGCATTAGGCCAAAGAATGTTGACTTGGAACAACTGCATGCAGTGACTGTGGAATGCCCTGATCGCTTCAGCGTTGGCAGCTTTACAACCTTCCCCAGTGAAATATGTCGTAGTTTGATCGTCCCATTCCCCTCCCTTTAACTCCCCTTCAAAAAAGTTCATTAAAAGCTTAAAGGCAGAGTAAGTGATTTCTGGTAGCCAATGTTGATATTTGAAATCACCAAAACAAACACGCCCCTACCCCAAAAGGGTCTTGCCTCTATTTTGATAGCTCCGCCCCACATATACGTACGCAACCCAGGCAACGATTAGTTCTGTGAAACAAAGCAAAACCAATATTACACCGTGTCTACGGACGTGAGCGGCGCGGCGCAACAAATCCCGACAGAAAACTGCTGCCGGGTTCTATTTATGACGTGCTGATACAAATTTCAAATGTTTTTCAATGGTCGTTTGATCGCGTCCAGTGTAGGCAGACTTTAGTTGTTGTAGACACGGTGTTACTCACCTATTGAGAAGAAACAAAGCAACCTCGGCGTCCGATCGCAGGCCTCCGCTCCTTGAGTTCTCTCCAGCGCTGGAAAGCTGATCCAATATTTACACGGGTCCTACTTCTTTGCCTTATCGTTCCGCAGACGTTTTCCTCTTTTGTTTTTTATCCGCCATCTCTATCTTTCTGTCGCTCGGCTCGGCTAATGTCCGTCCCATGCACTGAAAGCTCTCTCCTCCACATCACGAGTAGACACGCCCCTTATTGCTGATTGGCTACAAGTTTGTTTTGCTATTCGGCCCGAATCAGTTTTCTAAAGTGTTTTTGAAAAATCACATACCCTGCCTTTAAAGATGTTCGTCGTTGAAGGACAGGCTCAGATCTCTGCCAATTGGAAACGAATAGCTCAATTGAATCTGTCTCTATTGAGGATTTACATGTCTGTCAATGCAACAAAGAGTCTTTTTACACATTTTTAATTGACATTATTGGATTAGAGTGTTTGTGAATGAATGAAAGTTTTTTTTTTTTTTTTTCCAAAATGGGAAGTTTATGTTAAAAACGGGCAGTATAGAATAAAGAAATAATCTGGGTTTAAAATATTAAGCATCTATAGCATGGTTTTGAATACCACAGAAAATAATTTTGACTCGTCCCTCAGTTTGTAAAGGATATTTCACACACTAGCTTTCAAAACTGTGGGTTCAGTAAGATTTATTTTTATGATTTTAAAAGAAGTCTCTTCTGCTCACCAAGGCTACATTTATTTGATTTAAAATATGGTAAAAACAGTAATATTGTGAAATATTATTACAGTCCAAAATAGCGGTTTTCTAATTTAACATATTAAAATGTAATTCATTCCTGTGATCAAAGCTGAATTTTCAGCATCATTACTCCAGTCTCCAGTGTCACATGATCCTTCAGAAATCATTCTAATATACTGATTTGCTGCTCAAGAAACATTTCTTCTTATTAGTGTTGATTTTTTATTTTTTTTTGGAAACATGATAATTCTTTTTCAGGATACTTGTATGAGTAGAAAGTTCATAAGAACAGCGTTTATTTGAACAAATCTTTTGTCAGTGTAAAAATCCTTTCTGTTACTTTCAATTTAATGCATCCTTGCTGAATAAATCAATTTAATTAATATAATTAATTTATATATACATGTAAAAAAACTTACTGACAGAAAAGTTTTGAATGATAGTGTATATGATAATTCAGAGCAAGCATGGAATATTTATGCTTTTGAAAATGTATTTGTCACACCACAGGAATATTTAATTTTCAAGCATTAGGGCTGATATCCTGTATAGGAATCACAATAAAATAGTAAAAAAAAACTAAAACAATACAATTTAAAAAGTCATAAAGATTTGGAAACCTGAATTATTGTTTGCCTCGCAGGCATTTCTGTACACACATTTTTGTTGTATGTTTTACAAACTGATAGCGGAATCTAAATGATCTGTTTCGCAGTGTCATGTTACAGTCTTGTTGGTTGTAAATGATGTGAGCTTGTACTTGTTTTACATATGAGCATTTGAACAAACAGGTTTTTTCATACAGACTTGAGAAATCAACATACTAGTGGTACATCTTGTACAGCTGAAATGTCTTTGAATTCATGAGTTTGGGATCTTATCTGCTGGAGTCTCCCTGCGTTCAGTCCTTTGTGTGTTCTGTGAGCACGTGTGTGTGCATGCTTATCTGATTTATGCGTTTCTGATCCAGCCCGTCCTTTCTTTCATCTAATGGCATTGTCTCATTTACCTATTCTAAATTATTCCCAGACACTCCGGGGATCTCTAAAGCTGCTCTTTCTTTTTTTACAGTTCACACAGGCTGCGGTTGGAAAATAAGACTGTCTGTTCTGATTTGTTTTTCTCTCTGTTTCTTGTGTTTCTGCAGGGTGGTCAAGGAAGAAATCACAGACGACAATGCAAAGCTTCCCTGTTACAACGGCCGTGTGATTTGCTGGGTGAGAACAGAAACACACACACACACACACTAACGCATCCCTGCATCTTAATTCCCCGGTGCTCCTTGCATAATAGATCAGCCTTTTAATTCAGCCCGTTCCCGGTTCTCTTGAGTGCTGGCACTGCTGTATTTGTATTTTTCAAAGAGTCTGCCAGTCATTCCTACTTAAGGTTCACTTCGGTCTGATGCAGCTAATCAAAGACTTTGGTATGCTGCATAAGCTTTGTTTTATGAGCGGCTCATTTATATTTAAATGGCATGCAACTGCAAAGAACATCTTTTTCATTCTGAATGACAACATATGCGTATGCACACATAATAGACATATTGCTTGTCCCATCATAGTAAAAGTTCTCTTGGGATCTGGAACCATTTTATAGACCATAGTAGTGGTCGACCGATATTGGTTTTTTGACTGCCGATGCCGATATCTTGGAAAGCAGGATGGCCGAAATATTTGTATTTATTTTAATTAATATTTAAGAAATTTGAAATCATTTGAAAATGGATTAAAAAATACATTTGTAAAATAAACATACTTATACTTCAGATGACAAAGTATTTTCCACAAATAAATAAATATTTAATAAAAATATCATTTAAAAGGAAGTAAACTGTAACCAACAGAGCACTCCGTATTCTGGGAAGTTTGTGTGCATTGGGAATCATATTTTTTTAAATAAAGCCAAGGTAACACTCATTTTACATACAGCACACAGTGAAAATTACATGAATATGACAGTGGGCAAATGCATAAAGCGCAGCATAATTTGAAATCACAAATTTGATGTTTAAAGCATTCAATTCACACGGACCGAAAGTCACACAGTGAACACGCAATCATGCAGGTCACATGCACACTTCACAAGATCTCAGTTAACGACGACGGCGAACAAGAGGGAGAATGTGAGCACTGTGCCCACTGCCGCTCTTAGCGCCGTCAAAATAAAAGTCCCGCATCGAACAAATCTTGCAAAATTTTGCATCGGCAAAACAGAAAAATGTATCGCCCAATGCCGATATTTGAAAAATGCCAAATATCGGCCGATATATCGGTCGACCACTACATGTATGTATGAAGAT